GACTGCTATCTGCAGTTCAGTGGTTCAAATCGGCTGACTCAGCCTTCCATCCTTCCGAGGGGGGTAAAATGAGGACCCGGATTGTTGTTGGGGGCAATATGCTGACTCTGTAAACCGCTTAGAGAGGGCTGAAAGCCCTATGAAGCGGTATATAAGTCTAACTGCTAACTGCTATTGCTTTTTAGTAGTAATTTAAATCATGATTTAAATCGAGTTGATTTAAATCAAATCCACCCTGGGCAAGGAAATTCGTCAAATGGGGCAAGAAAACTCACTTCACACACATTTTCCCTTAGCCACAGAATCCGTTTCGAGGCTCAGGTGTGATTGTGATGGGAGGACCCCCTGGATTTCCTCGCAGACCCCCCCCCCCCAAGGGAGGCTTCCTTACCTTTTCAGCTTCATGTAACTTTCGTTGGCTGCTGGCCGGCATTCTGCACGCTGGACCACGATTCCTTCCAGGGAGAGTTTTTCTGGGAGAGAGAGAGGCCTGGATTAGCACCGAGATCCACGAAACGAAAGGACACTTTTGCTTTTGTAAAATACAGGCAGTCCTCATCTTACAACAGTTCGTTCAGTGACCGTTGGAAGTTACGCCGGCACTGGGAAAAGCGGCTTATGACTGTTTTGCGCAATTAACGACCCTTGCAGCACCCCCGCTGTGGTCGTGTGATCCAAATTCGGACGCTCGGCAACCGACTCGTATTTATGACGGACGTAGCGTCCCAGGGTCACGTGATCCCCCCGTTTGCGACCTTCCGACGGGCAAAGTCAAGGGGGAAGCTGGATTCACTTAAAGACCGTAAGCGACTGACGGAACAACTGCCACCATTCGCTTAACAATTATGGCAAGGAAGGTTGTGAAAACGGGCAAAGCTTCACTTCACAAATGTCTCGCTTAACGACAGAAATCTGGGGCTCAGTTGTGGTCGTAAGTCGAGCGCTGCTTATACGTCTCCCGAAAGACTCTTCTCAGGATTTTGGGGGGGGAATTGTTCTATTTTGGGTTGATACAGAACGGGCTTATTGAAGAATTCTGATGAAATAAACCCATTATAAATAACCCAACGTTATAAAAAGAATCAGTCTGCTTTCTCGTGCGCAGGTACGCCAGCTGCACCGAACTAGAAAATACGGTGTTTCCGTGAAGGTGATGCCAGCAAATGCGGCTTGGCTCCACCAGAAAAAACAGGACTAAAGTAGCATAATTCACAGAAAGGATTTCAATCTTAATATAGCAGCTATTCATGAGGTTCCTGGATACTATTTGCAGGGAAAGGAATCTACATTTTAAAAATAAATAAATTGCTAATTCAATCTGCTAAGATGCACGCTAACTTCCTTGTACCGAGCTAATGAATAAAACACACGGAATTAATTCACATGACTAAAGATAAAAGTTTGGAAACTGGAAATGTTGCATGCGTATCCTATTTCAGTATATTTGGTTTTATATATTATAATATATACATACAGAGAGAGACAGAGACAGAGAGAGAGAGACAAAGAGACAGAGACAGACAGAGAGAGTTTTACACAGTTTATTGGCAAAAGTAATTGACAAGAGGCTGGGAGAAAACCAATCCATGATGAGAAAGGACCCTGGAGGTCTTCTAGTCCAACCCCCTGCCTAGGCCGGAAACCCTATACTGTTTCAGGCAAATGGCTATCCAACATCTTCTTAAAGACTTCCAGTGTTGGGGCATTCACAACTTCTGAAGGCAACTTCTGTTCCACTGATTAATTGTTCTCACTGTCAGGAAATTTCTCCTCAGTTCTAAGTTGCTTCTCTCCTTGGTTAGTTTCCACCCATTGCTTCTTGTTCTACACTCAGGTGCTTTGGAGAATAGCTTGACTCCCTCTTCTTTGTGGCAACCCCTGAGATATCGGAAGACTGCTATCATGTCTCCCCTAGTCCTTCTTTCTCTTAAACTATGTGTGTGTGTGTGTGTGTGTGTGTGTGTGTG